ATAGCCAGTGGCGTGGCTTCCAGGAGGTGTTGATACTGCTCTACACAATTCTGATGCACCGACAACTGGAGTACTACATCCAGTTCTGGGCTCCACATTATAGGAGAGACATAGCTAGGTTAGAATTGGTTCAGCACAGGGTCACAAGAATGGTAGCAGGGTTGGGAGGGATGGCATATGAGGAGAGATTGAGGGAACTCAGTCTTTCCAGCCTGGAGAAGAGGAGACTCTGAGCGGATCTTTTAGCGACTTATAGGTATGTGAGGGGATGTCATATGGAGGAGGGCCATGACCTGTTCTTCCCTGCAGTGGAGGGCAGGACATATTCCAATGGGGCAAAGCTCAAGGAGCCAGGCTTCAGGTTGGATGTCAGGAAGTACTTCCTGATGGTTAGGACCCCAGACTATGGCATGGGATTCCAAGGAAGTTGCTTGAGGCCCCATCAGTGAGGGAGTTCAAGGAAAATTGAACAACCACATGTTGGGAATTCCATGTGCAGAGTCAGCTGGAGCCAGGGGTCAGACTAGATGGCCCAGCCCCTTCTGACTTGCTCCTCACTCCCCATGTTTCTTAATTTCAAACACAGCTTGTTGCCGTTTAAATTGCTACCACAAAATAGCAACATCATCCAAGTAAAGGAGAGAAGTAACCAGCCACTGCTGTACTGTTTTCCACATTAACTGACTTTCTCTGTGCTGATCTGTTACCCTCAACAATAAAACTTGATCGTTTCATTATTGTCTTAACCAATTTCCAGAGTGAGGAGGGTCTGCAAATTAACCTCATGGTCCAGGAGATGAGATAATCAGTTCTGCCCTGAAAAAGTCTTGTAGCTATACTCCCGTGTCTTTTCCATCCATCACACCTTTTCCCAGAACAAGTACAATGCAAAAAATTGCTTGTTCTGGGGAAATTATGCTCAGAGAAGATGCAAAAAACTATAGGAAGGGTGGGAAAGAAGTAGAACTTTAAATCCAAATTCCTAAGACATGACATTAGGACTGCTGTTTGCAAGATCAAAGTTGGGCTGTTAGAAATACATACATTACTATAGATACAGTGCATGTTCCAGATATAGGTATAAAGGGATAACAGTATTCAGGATGCAACTATAACTGTAAGTCCCATTGAAATCAGTGGGGTTGTTTTTTTATGCAACAATCCCTATTATATATCAATTTTTGTATTTGAAGTTTGAACTGAGAACTACAGAATTGCAAAATTGGAGATAACCACAATTGGAAGACTAACCATGTTCTAATGGATGTCTCAGTCTATGATGTGCAAATAATACTAATACATTGTCATCGTCACCATCACCATCAGCAGCAGCACCATCAGATCAGTTCTCTTAGAAATGCAGGCCAAAGTAAGTTCTGCCTCTTTCCCTGATTGTACAGGAAAACCATCTCTTACATAATAAGCTATTTGCCGCTCTTGTCTCTTAATCCCATTCTGTGCTGAAGATACTTATCTGATGAACGGTTGGAAACCATGTAAAACCTTGCAGGCAACATATGCAAAGCAAACAGACAAAAACCTGTTGCTTCATCTGCTCAACTGGGAAAAGGCAGCTCCACACCCCTGCAATCGCAGTAGTGGAGGATTAGCCTGAGTGCTTGTTAAAGAAAATTGAGGAAATGTTTATTTTCCACCTGAGTTGTGGAATGGCACATGAGGGAGAGATCTCATAAATTGTCAAAAGTACCCCTAAGGAATTATCAAGCCTGTGCTTTATTTGCATTTCATAGGCACTGAGTGAGGCTAAGCCATGTGGACTGACACAGCAGGATTTCCAGGGCATGGAGAGGTATTGCCAGCATTAGAACAAGAGAAGCGTGTTTTGATATCTCTGAGGATTTTGCAGACTTACAACCAAACTGGATGTGACATTATACTTATTGTCTGGTCTTGTGTGGCTTGCTGTCTTTAATGATTCAGGGATGGGGGGCTAGATGAGAGCAGGGAACATGAGGGACTTTAAGCTTTTGTCACTGGTGTGTCCCTGATTAGTGATGCCAGGAACCCGCCTGCCATTTGCAATGGGGGCATAGTGCACGTGGGATCCAATGGGAGCTTTTTCACCACAGGGCTACAGTCTAGACCATCCTTCCCAAACTGGGGCCCTCCATCTGCTCTGTCTTTTATTGTCCAGTGCTCTGGACTTTCCATAAGAGAATACAGAGCTATATATAAAGGCAGAGAGAGAGAGAGAGAGAATTTGGAGTGCAATTCCCAGCCTTCCTGATAATTGGTTATGCTGCCTGTGACTGATGGGAGTTGGGCTCCAAAACTTCTGGAGGGCACCCAGATGGGGACATTTCTGTAGGCAGTAGAGAATACCCAGGTACTGGGTGATTCCACCCATTCCAGCTGGCCATTGGTGCTCCTCAAAATGAAATGTTTTCAAGGCTTTCTGTTTGTGCTGGGAATTTACCTGGTGATTATGATGCTATTTAATTGCTCTGGACTTGACCCTGTTGATCTAACTTGCCTTAACACTTTCCCCTTATGCTCTGACTCTGCCGATACCTCAGCTCCAACAATTTAGTCATGGTATTCTACACTGATCACGCAATTTCTATACGATTCTGTCTCCCAAACAAAACCGAGGAGCTTAGCAGGATAGATCATATAATACACTTCCTGCTGTCCTTGAACTGCTGTTTTCTTCTGACGTCATTATTCCCTCGCCCCCTGCTTTGAATGATTCCGCACTTTTTCCTTTGGCTATAAATGTTGCATGGCTCCCATTTTTCTTTTTTATTTGATGTAAATTTTTGATTCTTCTAAAGCTCTCCATAATTTGGCTTTTCTCTTATCTCATTGATTTCCATTATGATTTAGTCTTGATATATCTGCCTTTCCTCTTTCTGCACTTTCTTCTATCAAACATTTTCTTTTTTCCACTTCTCTCTAAAGCTAGAATGCCCTTCATAATCATAGTCTCTGTTTCCTTTTATCATTGCAAGTATCTCTTTTGATCTTCCTCTTGTTCCTAAAACTTCTTTTCATAAATCTTCTTTCCATTGACCTGTTAAAGTTTAATTTAAGCTGTGTTTAACTCACCAACTTTGGCTGGACATGCCCAAAGCTTGCCCCTTTCTCTGCTCTCTGTTGGATGAACTGCAAAAACTACTTGGTTTTCATTTGCTTTCAGCAAGACTGCTTTGAGACATTTTGTACTGCTACTGCCTTTTAGTCTTGAACCGTTTTCTTGGATAACTTGTTAGTTTTATTGATTTTTTTATTACTGTATATTGTTCTACAATTTATGTAAGGCACCTTGGATAATTTATATAATGGCAGGATGTAAATGCTGCAAATAAATACATATTCTCTCAATTTTCCCATTCCTTTTCCCTCCTGTTTTAATGTAAACTGATTTAGCAAAGGTCTTATGTTGTTTTATTAAAGTAGCATCTTCAGATGATGATGATGATGATGATGATGATAATAATAATAATAATAATAGCCAGAAGAACTAGGGAATAGTGCACAGGTTGAATTATCTAATGAAATATAGATAATCAGAATGCCACAGAATTTGCCTGATTTTGGAAACTGTGCTTTGATAAATGAAGTTCTGAAATTTAACCATTTTCATAAGAAGCATGGGGGCAGGGTAACACCAATGATGATGATTTGATTAGGCAGCCTACATGATTCCAACTGCCCCTTTTATCATCACCACAACCATGTGAGGTAAGCTAGGCTGAGAGATGAGTGAATCTCCCCAGGTCATCCAGTGAGTTTCATACCTAAGTGGACATTTGAAATTACATCTCCCCAGTCTTGGTTCAATATTTCTTATTTGGTCTTCCCTGAACGGAAGCCCTCTAATATGCTTTAGACTGAAACTTCCACCTTCCTTGACTGTTGACCATGTTGGCCGGGACTGATGTGAATTGTAATAGAAAAGTTGGAAAGCACAAAGTGGGTAAAGCTGCTGTAATCACTTTCTCACACCAGCTCTCCCAACACAGAAAAATCTATTTCTCTTAAATATGACTCTTAAACATTAACATGATTCTCTCAGATCCATTACCCAGAAGGCATGCAAGAGGTCTGAGAAACTAACATCAGTTTCATAAAATTAGTTGAATAACTCTTACATCTTTTTTTCTTCATTTTAATATAAAATTCTATTCTCCCAGCAATTTGTTCCCCAAGAAGCTCATGTAGCAGAACCAAATTCCCAACTCAGCAAAGGATTCAAATTCTGTATTTCTACTTCAGAGTTGCTGAACTACACAAGGGTCAAAAGGATGTCTCTCCATCTTCTAGTAGAGACAATGAGACCCTTAAGCATTCTGGAAAGGTTCTGACAGGGACTGGGTTACTTAAAACACTCCAGTATCTGCTTTTGCCATTAAACAAATATTTTGCAACTTAAATGGCTGCCTGGGAATTCCTTTGTAAATCTCCTTGAGCTTTCTTTAGGGGAATGGCTTGTACTAGCTATTTGAAATACAATATATTAATATGCATGTTTGGATTTTATCATGGTGTATGTCTCTAACTACATTCCCCATGCTGGTGCCATCCAAAGGCAGGAATGTCAGCTCTGCTTTGGAAGTAGCAAAGTTCATTGTAGTTCTGTACTTTGCTGTATGTTAATTGCGGTGAGCTGGTCACATTCCCTTGAGACTAGACATTCTTACAGCTTTTAATTTAAGAGAGAGAATGATGTGCAGGAGCTTAAACCTGTACTGCATGCCATGTGCTTTTCATTTATTCACGTGAACTATCTTTTTTTCCCTTGCTGTTTTGTTTTTCAATGTGTTTATGATTGTTAGATTTGAATGCCATTTTCTTGGTGGAAAGGTGGAGTGTGAAGTGATTGAATGAATGTCTTCTGATCTGGGTCTCCTCCCCCCCCCCCCCCCCAATCCTATATCTTTGCATGGACTTCCTATGGTTATTTGATCCCAAATGCATCTGGCCTTGCTGCAGTTTGATGAGAAAGAAATAGCTTACTTCTTATATTTCACTTCAGAGAAGAGGCATGCATGATATAGCCTGGATGAACAAGTGATAACCTTGTTCAAGCTCAGTTGATGCTTCTTTAATTCTAGATCCCACGGGATTCTAGATCCCTTCAATGGCTGGCTAGCTCTAGCTTCCATTGAGGCATCATTGCAGTAGGGCCTCCATATGGAGCAGGTGACCACTTTCACACAATTTGGGACCCGTCCCACTGACTTTCAGATGAAATGGAAGCCTTGCAACATACAGCTGTGCCTGCATACGCCATGGAGCAGAGATAGTTGACACAGGTAGCGGACACAAGCATCTGTTGAGAGAATACATCAGAATGGATTAAAGACAAAATCATTGTTTTCTATCACAATTTAGCAAGGTCACACCTATCAGGTCCCAACACAGAGTCAAATTCAACCTGTAGTCTAGGTCTATATATCCCTGACTTGAGATATGATTCACAGAACAAAACAGAGTCTGTTCAAAATGTGTTTACATTTGGAAAAATGTGAATGAGAGTATGTTTGCAAACACACTATAATCAATGGGAATGAAGTCTGCACATTTCAAAAAATGACCACAACTTTGGGAGAATGCACACACATTTTCATGTAAAAGTAGTGAGGTAGAAAAGTAGTTCATGCAGTACAGACATGATTAGGAACATGCTTGCAAGCTTCAAAAAGTAATGCAAAGAACCTCAGTGAGCCCTGGTTTTGATGATTCACACATCCCTATGTATCTGTCAACTTTTGAACAGGGCTTCTGTTACAGAACTTGGACACTGCTGGGATCCTTTTTGGTCAATTAATTATTTGAGTTGTTGGAAACTTGCTACTCCGTCAAGCTTAGATACAGGATGAAGAATCGTGTTTCCCATTTGTGAACAACCATAAGAAGGAAATAACAGCTGGCCCATGTGTTGCCTTTGCACTGAAATAATGAGAACCTTCTGAAAAGAGGGAAAAGTAGGGTTTCTTGTCTTCTTCCCTGACAGTTCATCACTAAGGCTGTGGCCTCTGGGGGCTTGAAGACACCTGGCTCTCAATTAAATAGCTAATCTGTGAAGCAAAACACTTAACACTAGGAAGAAAAAATAGCTTATCAAGTAAACCAGTTCTGGCCTAAGGCCATCAGTGAGGAGAACATCAATAATTTTAAAGGATTCCAGCATGGTAGCAACAGCAGCAGCCAAAGGGGCTCTACATAATATGCAGAATAAGGCTGCAGGTTAAGGTGGTGGAATCTGGATTGTACATTCTGAACTTGAAGGGATCTTTCTCTCTCTCGCTCTCTCTCTCTAGCCTTCTCCCCCCTCCTCTCTCTCTCACACACACATGCACATGTATGCCCTAAATGTAGTAAACTAATACCATGCAGGAAGCACTGGACAGGGAGACCATCCACCATTATATGAGTAGCCCACCACCACCACCACGTTCAGTCTACAATGCTACCACCTTCTTCTGTGGTACAGGGTGTGAAATGCTCTGTGCTAACTGTAGAGCAGAACTGCTGAACTGCTTTCAGCCCACGGTTCAAGTTCAGTTTTGGAGAAGTCCCCAGCTGTGGTGAGTAGAGCCAAATGCAAAGGGAGTGGGGCCAAACAAGCAAGCATACTTAGGCTGAAAGTTCCTTCTGCCAGAAACTAAGACTTCAGAACAGCCTTCCAGCCTTTTAAGATGGAGGAAGTGCTGTACGAAAGCCAGCAAACCACCAGATCATCAGGGACTGGGGGAAGTGGTGGGCCAGAGGAAGGGAATGTGGCCATCAGGGGAAGGAGGGGCAGATTTGGGTCCTAGGACTGCTGAGGTTCTCCATTCCTGCTGTAGAGGCCACATGTTCGCCTTAAAGGCAATATGCAATTGTGTCTGTGTCCCTCTGAAATCATCACACAGTCCTGTCCAGTTTAAAGCAAGAGGCAGCTCATTACACTGTTCTCCCTTCCTCTCTCCTTTACAAAGTCTGCAATCTGAAATGTTCAGAGCAACTGCTAGAAGCTGTCAGTCATTCCTGTGGCTCCCCCTCTCCCTGAAAGTGAAATTGCTATCAAGGTTCTTTGACCTTTAGGGGATGCAATGCTAAATGAGTCTCACATTAATTTTTCCTGATTCAGTCTCAAAGGAGAGACTTCACTCTGACATGTTTAATCATGCCTGACATCCAGCGGGACCTTCAGTTTTGAGTTTGGATTATAGTGTTTGGCAAAGGGGGCATTACAAAAATGTAGATGAAAGCCTCTGACTTTGGAACCCTTTGCTTATCCTATGACTCTTGGGCAGGAGCCAGGCAAAGCGAGTGGAGGATAGAGGCAATTGAAAGATAATAGAAAGAAACTGAATCACTTGTTTGCAACCACTTCTACAGTAACATATGTTGAACTTCTAATATGCCTAAACGCATGTTTGGCTCAGGGAAAGCAGGGGACAGTATTTGAATAACTAATTAAATAGAACTAAGGGGTGTGTGTGTGTGTGTGTGTGTGTGTAGGACTCTGTGTGGGCTATGCAAGCACAGGCATTCAGCACCATGGATAGCTCTTTAAAGTTTGGACTAAGGCTAGCATAGCTATACTGCCCTACTGACACTGGAGCCACCAGCCTCCCCTAGTGTCCACCTCTGCCATGTAACCTTTAGAAGGTAAGCCAAGGAGAAAGCAGCCCTTGGAAAATCGTAACTTCATATATGCACTGGAAGAGATCTGAAATTCTACCTGTCTGCAAAAGAGATCTTAGGATCATTGTTGAAAGAGGCGTCAGCTTGGTGTGCTGCAGCCGTGCAAAAGACATTTTCCCTGTTCGTGATTATTAAGAAAGGTGTAGGGGAAAATAATTAAAGTGTCATACTACTCTTACATACAATGATGATGCCACTCCATTTCATATAATGTGCATCATTCCACTGGCCCCATCTCAGGCAGGTTATGCATGACCTGTAATAGCAGCAGAAAACCAAAATTACCAAGGAGCCAGGGCAATTCTCTTTGGGAAAAGAGAAACATTGGAATCCTAAGGGATGTTGTGATATACATCTATAAAACTGTGACTGGCATAGAGGAAATGGGTAGAGAGACATCAAATTAAATGGATTGGCTGTAGATGTAGAACAGACAAAAGCAAAGGGATTCATGCAAGGGATAGTGAACTTGTTGGATGTACTGCTGCAAGAATTGCCCCTCATTCAGATATGATCTCTTCAGTGCCTCTTCCAATGCCTCTTAATCAGGAATGTTAAATAGGGCATCCATGTTAAGAAGCAGAATGTTTTAAAATATTGCGTTCTGAAGGACAAACTACAGGGATGGAGAAGCACAATTATCTGGCTCAGGCTCAACAGGTCTGATAATGGTAAATGCAGATTCTCCATGTAAGCACAAGCTCTTCAGGAAAGTCCATCGCAAATTAGAACATGGTAATAGCACAGGAGATGGTACTTCTGCAAAACCTTGATACTAGTTTGAACAGGAGAGGATTGTCCCAAGAATACCTCTGGGGACTGCCTTAATAGTCCTGACCAAGTTGCAAAGTGCCTTCCTTTTGCTTGGGAAATAGCCTGATGCTTATTGATAGCTGGTCTTCCGAGTGGTTAGGAAAATCTCTCCTCCCACTTCTTAGCAGGGGGTGTTGTAATCTAGGAGAAATGGGTAGGGTGGCGTTTAGAGAACGATGCAGCAGGTACACACAATCATGGTGCATGTCCTAGTCATGATTCTTGTGGCCTCTGAATCCAGCAAAGGTAATTTACAAACCACTCTGAAACCCACAGTTTGGTCCAGGTTCCCTGATCATGCACGCCCAGCCAGTGACTGAGAATGACACACAAGTCGGTGTTATGCCTCTGCTAGCTTGAGCTGCTGCCTGGACTTCTCCCTGAAGGTCTACGGTGGAAACCATGCATTTGATCCACTTGAGGCTGTTGGAGAGCTGAAGCTGTACCTCCACCTATGCTTTGTTTGTAAATGAACACAGCGATCACAAAATGTTTCCCATGGAAACACGCCCTGGTAAACACAGTGCTGCAAGAGCAAGTGCACGGCTGTGCGCTCACACTGTAAGAAATTACTTGCTGGCAGAATGAGTATTAACAAGAGGTCATTAGCCCACTTCCCAACCACCTGTGATTAATGTGTAGCATCCCTCCAAATTCCTTTCCTCCCCATAGAGTAAGCATCTGGTCTTTATTATGCTGGTATAAATTCAGAATAAACCCACAGGATGTTGCTGATTTATGCTAGGTTTATCCCAGCACTACTGAGAGTTTAATCCAACCACATACTGTCTGAGTGGCTTATGCGACACATTACCTGCAGTATATCACAACATTTGTATCCATGTTAAGCAACATGTCAACCTACATGTTAACAAGCAGGCAATTAAAAAGACATTAAAGATGCTCAGCGCTCCAGGTGGAGAGTGTGATTTTTTTTAAGAAATCCACAAAAACATTCATTCAAATGATTAAATATGTTGCAGGTGTTCTCAACAAAAACATTTCCCTCATTTGGCATAATTAATTACACTTACAATTTCCTTAATTACTTTTGCAAAAGTTAATATTTCCCTATCTTCAAAGTTTTTGTGGCCAAAGTGGTTCATAAAGAGTTCTGTTTTATAATCCAAGAAGAACAGAGGAAATATATACATAAAGGTATTGGTTTCTGGTCTTGTGGGGTAAAACTTGGAAGAAATCGCACAAGAAAGCAGATTTCATAGGTTGCCTTAGAGTGCAACCTTATGGTCTCCTGACCTTGTCTGGGATATCACAGGATTTTTCAGAGTCTAAGTACCAAAGGTCTCCATCTTCAGAGCTACAACTCCAAAGGCCAAGTCCCGTGGCTGGTGTGTTCTGCCAGGTCTCAGATGGGGGAAAGGGGGCTGTTCTGTGGGGAGGCATAGAAGGTGGGCCACAGAACTGTGCTGATTCCAATTGGCTTCACAGCCTCATTCCCTTTGGTCGCCTAAATCTAGATGGCAAAATACATCCATCTACATAAAATGCAGGACACATGGCAATAACTGCCACAGCACCTCACTCCTTGTACTAGACACCTGTAATCCTCTGTCTTCGGAGACTCATGGATGGCTATGGCAAGGGTGATAGGACTGCATCCCAAGGTATGAGGGGTACACATTCTCACATTGCTTTCTGTGCTTGCCCCAGGTCTCCCACATTTTCAGCACTGTGTGATTTCATTGAAGTGGGATGAAAAATTTATTATCAACGACTAGCCACATATCACAAATAACCAACCATATTAGAGATTTCACATTATTCCCCTGTTTCGAATCAGAATAATAGACTTTCCCCAGTCTCATCTAAACAATCATAATCATGCTGCCCATAAGAAAAAAAAATCCTAAGCCCCTATTATTTCAATACCTTTAGTAGGATTGTGCAAAGTTTGCGAACACATGCAAACCTTCAAATCTTTAGATCCCTTTATATGGGGAGAAGTTCCAAAAAGCAGGCTGCAGTGGCAGAATAAGATGTGAGGAAAGGCTAACCTGTTTTTGCAGTTTTGATGTTCTGTCTTAAGATAAAATGGAGGAGGTGCTTTACAGATATTCAGACTGGATGCTCTCAGGTGAGCAACATGGATCGACCCCTCATATTGACATTTTATATTTTCAAGATGTTCTCATGCTTTTTGCCATCTTGCTAGTATTTATTCCCCTGCCTCTCTCTCTGGGCAAAATTGGAACTACCTAACTCTCAGAGAGAAAAGAGGGACAAGCCTTGCAGTGGTGGCTTTATCTTTTCCTCTCACTGCTTGGTCATTCAAAGAGAACAGGTGAGCATGTAGCAACTACACAGAGGAGCAGGACTTAGAGGCACCAAAGACAGCAGCAAGCGCCCAAGTATTGTGTGGGGTCCAGCAGGTTCCCAACTATGCCCACCCCGTCGTTCTCCTTTTGTCAGAGTTTGCCTGTGAGAAGCTCTCTATAGGTAGTCAGGAAATGGAAACTAGCATGCAGGATCGAGGAGTAATTGGGAGCAAAGGCAGGATCAGAGACCAAGACTAGACACACAAGGAACTTCGGGTGTATATAATATTTATTTATTTATTTATTTATTTATTTATTTAAAGCTTTTCTGTCTCACCCCCTACAGAACGTCTCGGGACAGCTTACACTAAATAAATAGAATAGAACAGCCCCACAACATAATATACTAAAACCCCAATTAAAATCAAACATTAAAATAACAGGAAAATAAAAAGGGTTTTGCCTGAAACCAAAAAGAATATAAAGTCGGCACCAAGCAAATCTTTCACAATATAATATCAGGCAGACCTTGTTGTTCAAGCTGAGACAAGAAGCCTTCTTATACTCCTTGCCACCATGAGGAACCAAGGGCCAGCTTGGACAAATTTTGTCCGGAAAATTTTTTTCCCCAGTCATGACAGTACTTGCCACATGGGACAGTGGTCAGCAGTTCCTGACATTTTATCCTTCCTTCTGTGGCATATGCACATCTGTAACTTCTACAAAAGGCAACTGTTTAGGAAATGTGGATCACCAAGTGAGCTCGCATGCTAGCACCACTATCTCTTTCCTTCCTGTGGGACTGGTACAGAAAAGGACTTTCCATGTGATTCACTTATTCCACAGTATTCCTGGTTGTAGGCACAACTGCTGCTGAATGGAGACCAAACCATACAGAAGCAGCAACACGGTATAGTGGTACATACGAACTTGGCCTATGTCTCCCATACATAGATACTCTCACTCCTGCTACCCCAGCCCAGGCACTACCATATAGAAGAATCACTTCCCATCTTACTGATCAGACCTCCAGCACATGTGCCCAGTTCTCTTTTCCACAGTAGAATTCCCCCTTGCTTTGCAGAGCTTTCTCCAGTGAAAGGCGATCTGGTGTCACACTGCAATGTTCCAAGATGTTCCTAAGAACTTCATTTGTTTCCCCAGTGAAAGGGACAATAAGCCAGTGTGTCTGATACGATGCTGGCGTTAATCTGCATAGAGTGTGTAATGCTCTCATTGCTACAATGCAATTATACAGAGCATGAAATATTAATTCACAGAGGCTTAATGTGGGTTTCCTTTTTTTTTTACTTGTCACAGTAAAGGGGCTCTAAGTAGTGTGAAATTATTACAGATGATTTTTCACAAAAACTCTCTAAAATGTTCCAAAAGGGGAGGACTTTTCCCCTAATGACTGATAGACTAATCCATACAAGCTTTTTTTCTTTTTTCTTTTTTTAGCATTTCAGTTTGTTTTATGGCACAGACCCCAAGGTGATTTTGCTTCTAAATATTATTCCCAATTTTGCACTGCATCAAACAGAGGTTCTGGTGCATGATGTTGCAAGATTATAGCATTTTTATTGCCCTGGGATTAAAAAATTGTCAAGCACTTCCCGGTGAATTGCCCAAAGAAAATATAATTGTCTACAGCCTATTGGAAAACTGTTTGTCCAGTCAGAAAGTAGTAGCCTTAGATGATGCAGTAGTCCTGCTAGCCTGAGGCCAACAGGGTTGCAGGAGTGAATGAATTAGATCAAGGGTGAGTCATCGCATGGCATTTTTCAAAGACGTGGAGGATTGTTGCACAGAAGAGGGAAAATACTTGTTCTCTGCTGCCCCTGAAGGCAGGACTAGATCTAAAGAGCTTAAGGGCTTTTCTACATGAGGCATTTATTGTACATTTGTCGTTCCCTAGTCATGCTTGTTTATTGTTTCATCAGATGACATTCTGTCCCTTCAGTTTCACTCCTGTGTCTAGTGAGCACTTTCAGTCTTTTTTTAAACAGGGAAAATGCAGCATTTAATTAAAAAAATAACATACACACACCCCTGCAGTTTTCACTTGTACTTATGTGCTATGTCACATTCTTTCCAAATGCAGGAAAGAAAACACTGCATGAAGTGCTTGGATCTCAATCCTATGACAAAATCACAAGTGCATACA